ACTCACTGATTAGCCAATGAAAAGGGTAGCGGTCGTACGCTAATTACCATGTTTCTCTTTTATTAGTGTAGATATATATAGACTAGGGGCCCAGTGCACAAATTCGTGCACCTTGAAAGGAACTGTGGGCCGTGAGGCTGTGGTGGGCACAAGGGTGGGTCTCAGCCCATCCTCCTCGCCCCTGCCCAACCCCTCCTGCCGCAGCCCCCAGTCCCCTGTCTGCTGGCAGCCCTGCACCCGCTGATGGCACAGAGCAATTGGGGCTGGTGCCAGCAGCGGTTGCAAGTGGGGAAGGCGCTGTCAGTGGGTGCGAGCGGCAGCTGCTGCTCCAATCGCCCCTCAGGAGCAGGGAGAGGTAGAGAAGCCCTCAGGGGTGATTGAGGCTGGCAGAAGGTGTGAGCGGTGGCTCCAGCGCCGTCTGCAGGTGTGAGCGGGGCTGGTGCCGGCAGCAGGTGGAAGTGGTGGCTGCTGGCCCTGATAGCCCCTCAGGAGCAGAGGGAGGTGGAGAAGCCCTGAGGGATGATCGGGGCTGGCAGCCACCGCTCGCACCCGCTGACGGCACCGAGCCATCAGCACCAGCAGTGGGTGCGAGTGCCAGGCTGGACTGTGGTGTGCGGGAGCAAAGAATTTTCAGTAACCATCAGAGGCTCTCCCCAGTGACAGTGACTGACACCCTGCCTTGGTCTGGCGCCCCCGCTCACCTGCTCCACCAACAGCAGCCATGTTCTACGCTCTGCTGCCTGCTGCCGACTCCCACTATGTTCCACGTGCACCCCCTGGTGGTCAGCACACGTCATAGCGACTGGTTGTTTGGTTGTTCTGCTGTTCGGTCTATTTGCATATTAGCCTTTTATTATATAGGACTAGAGGCCTGGTGCACGAAATTCGTGCAGGGGGGCGAGGGAGGGGAGTCCCTCAGCCCGACCTGCACCCTCTCCAATTCAGGAGCCCTCAGGGGATGTCCTACTGACAGCTTGGGCCCAGTCCCTGTGGTTCTCTTCTCTCTGCGGGGCCTGCCTGCTCCACACCACGGGGATGGTCAAGCAGGCTCTGCTGGGTGCTGCCTGTGGGCTGCGCTTGCCTGCTCCCGGGTTGCCGCGGCGACCCCCAAGCAGGCCCTGCTGGGTGCTGCCTGCAGACACATTTGCCTGCTGGGCTCCGCCAGCGTCCTGCCCCAGCCGCTATGGGCGCCGCCATCTTTGTCACGGAGTGGCGGTTAATTTGCATATTACTCTTTCATTAGATAGGATATTGCTTGTACACTATTGTTAAGTTCTGAAGAACATTTAGATTTGCTTATTTGACCTAGCAAGTGCAGTTCTAGGAATCCAGCCTGAAAAAATATTTTATGTGCATAAGTTCATGTTTAAATAGTACAAATAACATAATACTCACCAATAGGGCAATAGTTAAATTATGGACTATTAGAACTTCTAATTATTTCAGGTACGTTAAATAAAAAGTGTTTGTAGTACAATTATGTTTTCTGAGAGAGAACTAAAGGAGTAGAGTGGATAGCCAAATTAACTAAAAGGAAAAACTACATTAGGAATTCTAACTATAAAACATTATTTGAGGGATGTGGTCTAAGCATGAATGTTTCAAAAAAAAAAAAAGTGGCTTTCTGCCAGCTGTTCTCCTTCCGAGAAGGCCTGTAGGCAGCAGCCATGGCGCCCAGCCAAAATGGCATGATCCTAAAGCCCCACTTCCACAAGGACTGGCAGCAGTGCGTTGCCATGTGGTTTAATCAGCTGGCGCAGAAGATCCACAGACGCAAGGCCTGGCGCTGCATTGCCCCTTGCCCTGAGTCCGGACCCATCCGACCCATAGTGAGATGCCCCACCGTTTGGTACCCACGCCAAAGTGCGAGCCGAGCCAGAGGGCCTTCAGCTTGGAAGAGTTAAGGGTGGCTGGAATTCACAAAAAGGTGGCCGGGACCATTGGGATCTCGGTGGATCCGAGGCGGCGGAACAAGTCCACCGAGTCCCTGCAGGCCAACGTGCAGCAGCTGAAGGAGTACCGCTCCAAGCTCATACTCTTCCCCAGGAAGCCTTTGGCCCCCAGGAAGGGAGACAGTTCTGAAAAACTCAAATGGGCTACCCAGCTGACCGGACCAGTCATGCCCATACGGAATGTCTACAAGAAGGAGAAAGAAAGCCAGGGTCATCACAGAGGGAGGAGAAGAACTTCAAGGCTTTTGCCAGTCTTTGCATGGCCCGTACCAATGCCCGGCTCTTTGGTATCCAGGCAAAAAGAGCCAATGAAGCTGCAGAACAGGATGTTGGAAAAGAAAAAATAAAGTGCTGTTGGCAACTTGTGATTAAAAAAAAAAGTGATAACCAAATGATATGATGCATATACATGATTGAGAGCCAAAATGTAAAATATTATATCGATTCCTGTGAAGGGCATATTAGGCTCTTTTTTGTCTCTACAGCTTCACCTTTTGCTAGTTCTCTCCTAAGGACTAACTGTTGAATTGCCTATAGTTCTTGAGCCTGTTCTATTCAGACATTCTTCCATGCCCTTGGATGGGCTGTTCCTTCTGCCCAGAATACCCTATTCTTCTCTATCAACTTCTCTCTCTGCTTCCCTTCATCCTCATCCTTCAATCTTCTCTGTGTGTCCATTCTAACTTCTGGGAATAGGTTTTGGCATTTCTCTAACAGCTTGAATCTTTATATCTTGAATTAAATATTGTAGTATTCATTAATTAGAGGACAACATTTCCATGACCTGTATCATAGGAAAGTTAGGAAACCACTTAAAGCCAGACATGGCTAGTATCTTGTAGGAAAATGGCTGCAGTATTCTTGATCCAGTAGTTTCACATTTGTAAAGCTTTGTGCTTTGAAATGCATTTTCAGGTTCAAGGATTGTTTCTCCTATTATCACCAGCAATATCATTTGTAGTAAGTTTCCTAACTATTCTTTAATACCTTTAACACTCCTTGTTCTGAATTATATTTCAAAGTTATTGAGGTTTATAGCTTTGTAAAGGGCCTATAATTGTTGAATTTTGTGTAGAAAAACCACTTGGTTATTGCAAGTGTGAAATTTTGGTCCCTAACCTCCATCCCCCTTTCTCTATTGAAAAAAATATTTCTCTGATTTAGCTTGAGATTTCTTTTTTTTTTTTTTTTTAATATATTTTATTGATTTTTTACAGAGAGGAAGGGAAAGAGATAGAGAGTTAGAAACATCGATGAGAGAGAAACATCGATCAGCTGCCTCCTGCACACCCCCCACTGGGGATGTGCCCGCAACCCAGGTACATGCCCTTGACCGGAATCGAACCCGGGACCCTTGAGTCCGCAGGCTGACGCTCTATCCACTGAGCCAAACCGGTTTCGGCTAGCTTGAGATTTCTTAACACAACTATCGCTGAACAGACTTCATGTGCATTATAATGCTGAAGCGCCTATTATTTTTTGTTTTGCTTGCTTGTCTATTTCCCCAGAAAAACATATTGAAGAGTATATATCATACCTTTATCTTTGACATTCCAACGATTTCTGTAGTACTTGGTGCATTATAGATAACTATTTGAAGGAATAACATCTCTAACTATTGAATATCAATACTAATAAAAGAGAAACATGGTAATTGGCATACGACCGCTACCCTTCCCATTGGCTAATCAGCATATCCTTATGCAAATTAACTGTCAGCCAAGATGGCGGCTGGCAGCCAGGCAGCTGGAAGCGACCCCCTGATCGGCCCTGCTCTGTGGGTGATAGAGGGTGGCGCCCCAACCCCCCTCCACGGGCCTTGCTCTGTGTGTGACAGGGTAGAGCCATAAACTCTTCATCGGCCCTGCCCCGAGTGTGACAGTGGTGGCGCCCCAACCCCCTGATCGGCCCTGCTCTGTGGGTGATAGAGGGTGGCGCCCCAACCCCCCTCCACGGGCCTTGCTCTGTGTGTGACAGGGTAGAGCCATAAACTCTTCATCGGCCCTGCCCCGAGTGTGACAGTGGTGGCGCCCCAACCCCCTGATCGGCCCTGCTCTGTGGGTGATAGAGGGTGGCGCCCCAACCCCCCTCCACGGGCCTTGCTCTGTGTGTGACAGGGTAGAGCCATAAACTCTTCATCGGCCCTGCCCCGAGTGTGACAGTGGTGGCGCCCCAACCCCCTGATCGGCCCTGCTCTGTGGGTGATAGAGGGTGGCGCCCCAACCCCCCTCCACGGGCCTTGCTCTGTGTGTGACAGGGTAGAGCCATAAACTCTTCATCGGCCCTGCCCCGAGTGTGACAGTGGTGGCGCCCCAACCCCCTGATCGGCCCTGCTCTGTGGGTGATAGAGGGTGGCGCCCCAACCCCCCTCCACGGGCCTTGCTCTGTGTGTGACAGGGTAGAGCCATAAACTCTTCATCGGCCCTGCCCCGAGTGTGACAGTGGTGGCGCCCCAACCCCCTGATCGGCCCTGCTCTGTGGGTGATAGAGGGTGGCGCCCCAACCCCCCTCCACGGGCCTTGCTCTGTGTGTGACAGGGTAGAGCCATAAACTCTTCATCGGCCCTGCCCCGAGTGTGACAGTGGTGGCGCCCCAACCCCCTGATCGGCCCTGCTCTGTGGGTGATAGAGGGTGGCGCCCCAACCCCCCTCCACGGGCCTTGCTCTGTGTGTGACAGGGTAGAGCCATAACCTCTCCATCGGCCCTGCCCCGAGTGTGACAGTGGTGGCGCCCCAACCCCCTGATCGGCCCTGCTCTGTGGGTGATAGAGGGTGGCGCCCCAACCCCCCTCCACGGGCCTTGCTCTGTGTGTGACAGGGTAGAGCCATAACCTCCCCATTGGCCCTGCCCTGAGTGTGACAGGGTGCAGCGCCCCAACCCCCTGATCTGCCCTGCTCTGTGTGTGACAGGGGGCGGCGCCCCAACTCCCCAATCGGCCCTGCTCTGAGCCTGACCAGGGGCTGCACCTAGGGATTGGGCGTGCCCTCTGCCACCCGGGAGCAGGCCTAAGCCAGCAGGTCGTTATCTCCCGAGGGGTCCCAGACTGCGAGAGGGCACAGGCCGGGCTGGGGGACCCCCCTCCCCACCTCCCCGAGTGCACAAAATTTTGTGCACCGGGCCTCTAGTGAATATTATAAAAGACTTATCTCTGGATTCCAAGTAGATCTCATTGTTGGATTGCTAATGCTTCTTACATCCCACTTCAAGGATCAAGATTTTGATAAAGAGTTTTATAAAAATTCATCAAAAATTTGATAATGAATGTAGTATAATTGTATCAAATGTACTTACAGGACAGTTTTTTCCCCTTTCTCTTAACATTTAAGTTAGGGTATGTTGTGTGTGGGATAGTAAAAAATAGATTTATTTATGCTTGCTCAGTTGGTGAGTAGGATACAAGATGAACATTCCTTAGCACTATGCGTTTTTAGTGTCTTACAAAGGAATACAGTTGTCCCTTGATATCTGTGTGGGAATTGGTTCTAGGACTCCCCTGGGGATGTGGAGAGCCAACTAACTATACATTTCCAAATGATTCTTATATTCCTGCATTTCAAAGGGTAAAATTTAATTTCAATGTATTTCTTGGGAATTGTTTTTCCAGGCTTAATTTTTTTTTAAGATATTGAATTCATAAACATACACATATGTGCTTTGTTCTGCCTATAAAATGTCTTAATTTATCATTTTTGGATATTTTAAATTGCTTTATCAATATAAAGAGAAAATAGCCCGTTCACTTGACTATACCATTACGTGTTAAAATTTCTTTTTCTGCAGAGATGCCATTGAAAACAACATGGATTTTATGGGATTAATTATAATGCAGAACAAATTAAAGCGAGAAACCCCTGCAGTACTTGAAGATTTGCATAAAGCCAACATTCGCACTGTCATGGTCACAGGTTAGACTTTATAAAATGACTCAGAAAAATTTGAGTGTGACTCTTAGAGTTCAAGATATATTAACAGATGACCAATTGGTTATAAAAGTATATTATATTGTGGCTCCATCCTGCATTGCCCTATTTCAGCTCTGAATATTTTTTAAGGTGTAAGTTAACTTGGCACTATTCTTTTGAAGTCTAACAAATTCTGTTGATAGAAAGTATAGTACAGTGATGGCGAACCTATGACACTCGTGTCAGAGGTGAAATGCGAACTCATTTTTTTGGTTGATTTTTCTTTGTTAAATGGCATTTAAATACATAAAATAAATATCAAAAATATGTCTTTGTTTTACTATGGTTGCAAATATCAAAAAATTTCTATATGTGACACGGCACTAGAGTTAAGTTAGGGTTTTTCAAAATGCTGACACGCCGAGCTCAAAAGGTTCGCCATCACTGGTATAGTAAGATAATAAAGGGCACACTATAAAATTTTAACCTCTGCTCCTTTTTATCTCTCTGTAATCATATATTTCTTATAGCACTTATTGTGCCTTGCTCTGTGTTAGATATTTGTACATTTGTTTGCTCTACTAGAATTATGTTTTAGACTCTGAGATTCATCTGATAGCATAGTTGTTACTATACAGCTGAAGTAACTAAATTTATTATCTTCCTAGCAATTCTTGGTTTTAATGACTGCTTCAAGGCACTTTCTATCTCTGTATCTCTTTCCCCTCTTTCTCTACCATGACTGACTATAGTTTTGTTGTCCTAAGGCGTCTGTCTGATCACTGGAAGACACCCTTGGAAATAGTGTGTAGGAGTTGGGGAAAAAAATAATATTGCCCATCAGTCTGATAGCAGTGGGCTCCCAAGACCTTTGTCAGCTTCTCCTGTAAGCTAGTATTTTCTTCTCTTGAACCTATCCTTTACAGTGCTGCTCTTTTTTTCTCATGGCTGAGAAGTTGTCTGTCTTTGTTCTCTTTACATCTTGTAAAGATTATATTCTTACTACCTTGCTTATCTTTTAGTTCTGTGTAATCTTGCTTTTGTAATTCATTCTTTCTTTTCTGTGATACTATTCTAGTATTCTTAAACAGATCACCGGTCACTCCTAGGTTGTTTAAAAAATATTTATTGAGCTTCTGCTCTGTATGTAGCACTGTGGCAGGTGCTACTAGTGAATGACTCAAAGATTGAGAATGGCCCTGGCTTGGTGCTCAGTTGGTTGGAACGTTGTCCTGTGCACCAAAAGGTTGTAGATTTGATTCCAGGTGAGGGCGTATACCTAAATTGCAGGTTCTATCCTCCCTCAGGCCAAGTACAAGAGCACTGATTGATGTTTCTCACATTGATGTTTCTCTCTCCTCCTCCTCCTCCCCCTCCCCCTCCTTCTCAAATCAATAAAAACATATCCTCAGGTGAGGGTTAAAATAAAAAAGAATGAGAATGTATTTGGTTTTAAAAATTGTGGGTGAGAATGTTCTGACTGTTTCGTATATATTGCTTGCATTATTTAAGGCTTCCTTTGATAAGTATGTCCTGATTATTTTATTTTTAAACTCTAAGAGTAAAGACCATACATTATCTTCATTTTGCCCAGTCCAGTGATAGGGACTATAGTAGATTTTCAATAAGCACTTGTTGGTTAATCCATTTATGTTTTAATTTTAATGTGTTTTCAATATTTTGAAAATTAGGTGACAACATGTTGACTGCTGTCTCTGTGGCCAGAGACTGTGGAATGATACTACCTCAGGATAAAGTTATTATTGCTGAAGCATTACCTCCAAAGGATGGAAAAGTTGCCAAAATAAACTGGCATTATGCAGACACTCTAACACAGTGCAGTAATTCATCAGCAATTGACTCAGAGGTAATGTCAGGATGAATTTTTCTCTTTGAAGCTTGCATGTTTTAATTTAGTCTAAAAAAGTAAACTCTGCATTAAAATTTAACAAAACAAAAAGTAAACAGAAACAGAAGCCTGGGCTTCTGATTCATTAGATCCAGGAATCTCAATGCTTTAAATTTTGATTGTTAGACAAAGTTGAGAAGCACACTTTTAAAGTATAAGAATCCCAAAGATTTATCCTATTTTAAAAGTAGTAATAAATGGTGAAGGTAGGCCAAAATATTCAGTTCATGGATCATTTCAAATTGAAGCTGATATTTAGCCTTCCTTATGTTTGTGTGTGTGTTTTTGTTTTCTTAATAAACATATAGATAGGTTCGTCCCCTTAAAATTGACTTTACCTTTACTTTCAATAAATGTTAAACTTTCAATGTCTTATGTAAAATATCAAATGAAAAAAATTAGTTTTGGATCAGATATATTTAAAATAAGGTAGTGTTACTTGGTTTGGCTTCCTAAATATTATTTTGAATGTTGTACACACAGGCAATACCAATTAAATCAGTCCACGATAGCTTAGAGGATCTTCAGGTGTCTCGTTATCATTTTGCAATGAATGGAAAATCATTTTCAGTGATACTGGAGCATTTTCAAGACCTTGTTCCAAAGGTTAGTTATTTGGGTTTATGTATGTGTTCACATAAATACATTGTAAACAGAATTTTAAAGAAATTCATATTTTTTCCAGTTGATGTTGCATGGCACTGTGTTTGCTCGTATGGCACCTGATCAGAAGACACAATTAGTAGAAGCATTGCAAAATGTAGAGTAAGTATTGGGGTGTGTGGTGTGTTTTTTTTGTTTTGTTTTTTAGTGAATTGTAATTCATTTTCAAACCCAGAAAAGTAACTAATATTTCATGTATATAATATTATCCCGTGAGGTAGGTAAGCGATAACTTTAAGTGTCTATTTAAAAGAGGCTTATGTGCTCATGTAGGCTCTTGCAGCTAAAGTACAATATCTACAGTTTCTTTTCCAGGTCATATGTATGAGATAGAGTTCATTCATCTCAGTTTGATGGAAGTGACTTTATAGTTTTAGTAAATAAATATGTTTCAAGTTTTTAAGGGAGAACTCTTTACTGATAGCCTTAGAAGTAAGTGTGCTAAAGGCTATACAAGCCCAAGTACTTTGCTCTAAAGATTAGGAAATTGAGATGTTAAAATGATAAAGTGATTTGTCCATCTTATGACGGAAATTGGACAATACCCAGGTTATTTGACATGCAGGCTGATACAAAGCAACATGCCTGTGATCACTGTAATGAAAAGGTTCATTTGTTTCACTGGGGGGAATCTTGGTTTCTTAGCTCTTCATAATATTGTATTAGAGAAATCTTAAGTATTGTGCCTTTTAGGAAATTAATCAAAATCTTAACATAATTTTTGTTCCCCAGTTACTTTGTTGGGATGTGTGGTGATGGTGCAAATGATTGTGGTGTAAGTATAATTTTTGTAATTTATAATTCTTTCTCTAGCCCAGGGGTGGGGAACTTCTGGCACACAGGTCATATAAGGCCTGTGAAATCATTTGATCTGGTCCTGCCAAAGCATTAGGGGTGAGTTAATGAAATGTTTGACCAAATATAGCAGGCTAATTTTTAAGTTGATCATTTTGTATGGCCCTCAAATGATGTTATAAATATCCAAATGGCCCTTGACAGAAAAAAGCTTCCCTACCCCTGCTAGCCTAAGTCACATTCACAGGATGTTACCAGTTTTCTTTTTCTAACTTTTAGGCTCTAAAGAGGGCACATGGAGGCATTTCTTTATCAGAGCTCGAGGCTTCAGTGGCATCTCCCTTTACCTCCAAAACTCCTAGTATTTCCTGTGTGCCAAACCTCATCAGGTAGGACAAATTAAAAATTTCCTGTTGTCTCTTTGTAGCTTGCTTTAATAATATGGGGGGAAAAATGATCACAGAAAGTAATATGAATTTGTTTTTATGGTTTTTTGGTATATTTGATCTGTTATTTATTAGCAACAGATTGATTGTTACTCCTCATCTCTTCCAGTTCTGCTTTGGCTTAGTTCTTTGGGTAGAAGTGTGCTTTATTGTAGCGGTTGAATGTTAATATTCATCTGTCAAGATATAATTGTGGTTTGGAGGAGGAGTTTGAAATGCCTTTATTCACATGCCAACATTTGTTTTCACAGGGAAGGCCGTGCTGCTTTAATGACTTCCTTCTGTGTGTTTAAATTTATGGCTTTGTACAGCATTATACAATACTTCAGTGTTACTCTACTGTATTCCGTGAGTACTGATATTGCTTATACTTAGTGTTAAGTCATTTAAATTAAGATATGAGCATATGTGTTTGATTTTGAATGCATGCATTAATTATGGAATTTACATAATTAGCAGTTATAAATTTTTCTTCAGTTTTACTATGTTTTGTGTAGCAGATTGAAAAATCTCATTAATATGGAATATCATTTTCCTCAAGGCCAATAGCTGTGGTTGAACCTTGTGAATAAAAGATGATTGAATACTTTTTTGCCTTGAGCACAAATTGGACATCTTTTTTAGAATTCTTTTAAATAAGCTGTGACATATTTCAGAATTGTAGTTAATTTTGCTATACATTTACAGGAAAAGGCCGGAATGAGAAAAGGTGTTTCAGCAATAGTTGTAGGATATTATGAATTTGGAGAAAAAGCTTAAATAGTGGTGTCCATAAGTACTCTGTCAGATTTTATCCTGAAAGTGATCTCACTTTAGATATATCTCTAAGTGAACATTGGTGACATCCCAAGGAGTCTTTGTGAAACTATACTTTTTTATCATTTGTAGAAAGTATCAGGAGGGATGTTGTTAGATATTAAGGAAGCTTCAAGATACTAATTTTCAAGAATATTGAATATTGTGAGTAAAAGTTTGTGTTTTCTTTTTGCCAAAAAAAGCTTTAAAAGATTTTTATTGAATTGAATTGTTAGGAGATGCCTTTTATACTAACATATTAATTTGAATATTTGCAAACATGTTGTATTTCACTGATTCGAAAGGCAAATGTATTTCACTTTTCAAGCAGGTCCAAGTGTCATTTAGTAGTAATCATTGGGGGCGGGGAGTGGGGCACTAAAACCAGAGAAAAGTGGTAATTATTCCTGAAAACTAAATATGTTTTAAAAAATTACTTCTGTAGGTCTTAAGTAACCTAGGAGACTTCCAGTTTCTCTTCATTGATCTGGCAATCATTTTGGTAGTGGTATTTACAAGTGAGTATTTTGTTAGTGATTTCAAAGCCTATGAAGTTCTAATGTGATTTGTTAAACTTTGGTAAATTTACATCAACAATTGTAACACTGCATACCTCTCCAGATTTCCTGTTAATATTGCCTTTTATTACCAGTTGCTTATGTTTTCCCCCATTTATTTTATTCTCTCTCCACTCTTTTTTGAAATATTTGAGAATAGGTTTGTATTATTATGCCCCTTTGCCTCTGAATATGTTAGTATATATTGCCTAAAAACAAAGCCATTCTCTTATACTGTATAATTAAACACAGTTGTAAAGATCAGGAAATTTAGCATTGATAAAATAGTATCTAATCCACAGCAGGTATTCAGGTTTTGTCATATGTCCCAACAATGCCCTTTTATAAGCATTCTAGAGGCCCGGTGCAAAAAATTTGTGCACGAGCAGGTGGGGGGTGGGGGGTGTCCCTCAGCCCGGACTGCACCCTCTCCAATCCAGCAGTTGGACATACCTCTCGCAATCCGGGACTGCTGGCTCCTAACCGCTCGCCTGCCTGATCACCCCTAACCACCTCTGCCTGCTGACCTGATCGCCCCTAACTGCCTCTGCCTGCTGGCCTGATCGCCCCCTAACTGCCCTCCCCTGCCGACTTGGTCGCCCCTAACTGCCCTCCCCTGCTGGCCTGATTGCAACTAACTACCTCTGCCTCAGCCCCGCCCCCGTGGCTTTGTCTGGAAGATGTCCGGTCTAATTAGCATATTACTCTCTTATTAGTATAGATTTTTTTAAAATATATTTTTATTGATTTCAGAGAGAAAGGGAGAGGGAGAGACAGATAGAAACATCAATGATGAGAGAGAATCATTGATCGGCTGCCCCCTGCACACCCCACACTGGGGATTGAGCTCACAACCCAGGCATGTGCCCTTGACCGGAATCGAACCCGGGACCCTTCAGTCTGCAGGCTGACGCTCTATCCCAGGGGTGGGCAAACTTTTTGACTCGAGGGCCACAATGGGTTCTTAAACTGGACCGGAGGGCCGGAACAAAAGCATGGATGGAGTGTTTGTGTGAACTAATATAAATTCAAAGTAAACATCATTACATAAAAGGGTATGGTCTTTTTTTTTTTTAGTTTTATTCATTTCAAACGGGCCGGATCCGGCCCGCGGGCCGTAGTTTGCCCACGGCTGCTTTATCCACTGAGCAACCAGCTATGGCCCAACAATGTCCTTTTATACCTATCTTTTTTCCTAGTCCCCTAGCTTAGGTCTTACCAGGGCTCACAAACTTCATGTAATTATCATGTCTCTTTAATCTTCTTTAATCAGGAATATTACATCAGCCTTTTTTTGGGGTCTCTTGATATTGATATTTATGAAAGAAGATATACCAATTATATGGCTTTGTGCATTATAGTGTAGTTAGACTCAGGCTATGAATTGGTGATGTTCACATCAAAATAAATAATAATGGCCCTAGCCGGTTTGGCTCAGTGGATAGAGCATCAGCCCATGGACTGAAGGGTCCTGGGTTCAATTCTGGTCAAGGTCATATACCTCAGTTGCAGGCTTGATCCCCGGCCCTGGTTGGGGTGCATGCGGGAGGCAACCGATCTATGTGACTCTCTCACATTGATGTTTCTCTCTGTCTCTCCACATCCCACTCTCTCTCTTAAAAAAAAAAAATCAATGGAAACATATCCTTGGGTGAGGAGGATTAACAACAAAAATAATAATAAAAAAATAAATAGTAATGGTAATAGGATCTGACTCATTTAATCAAATACAAATTTAGTTTATACTGGCAGGCAGGCAGTCAATGAATGAATGAATATGTAAATGAATAAATGAAATGATGGACTTAAATTATGGAAAGAACCTTCCCAGTTTTATTGACATTTTAGGCCAAATAATTTTTTGTTGTTGGGGATTCTGTGCATTGTAGGATGCTTACCAGCATCTCTGGCCTCTATCCAACTAGGTGCCTGTAACACTCTTCCAGTTGTGACAACCAAAAGTATCTCCAGACATTGTCAAATGTTTCCTGAGGGGCAAAATCATGTTGGTTGAGAATGGCTTATTTAGACCATTTTTTATTAAATTTATTGGGATGAATTGGTTAATAAAATTATAGGTTTCAGGTGTACAATTCTATCATAATATATCATAGACAATCTTTAATTAATGCTAAAAATTAGTGAATGAGCCCTGGCAGGGTGGTTCAGTTGATTGGAACGTTGTCCTGTACACCACAAAAAGGTTGTGGGTTCTGTCCCGATCAGGACGCATACAGGAGGTGACCGATCAATTTTTCTTTCTTTCTCTCTTCCTCTCTCTTTCTTCCTTCCCTCCTTCCTTCCTTCTTTCCTTCCTTCCTCTCTCTCTCTCTCTCTCTCTCTCTCTCTCTCTCAAAATAACCCCAAAAAAAACTAGTGAATGAAATTTGATGAGGGACAGGAATTTTATATAGTCTTATTATACACATTATTTATGAACAAACTAAAAAAACAGAGACTTAACAGTGGAGAAACTCAGTGGATAACACCATAATAAAACAAACAAAGCCTTTTTTATGTTACTGTTTTGTTTATTTTGCTTCAAACCTTTGTTAATGTCTTATGAGGAAGAAATTGTATTATTTTAATTGTAGTTGACAAAAACAAATTTTATGTTTCTAAATGAATTTGATTATGCATTTTATAGTGACAAATTGATTGAGCAACAAGCAACAAACCTTTCATCTTTTTCTTCTAATGTAGTGAGTTTAAATCCTGCCTGGAAGGAACTTGTGGCACAAAGACCACCTTCAGGTCTCATATCGGGGGCCCTTCTCTTCTCCGTTTTGTCTCAGATCATCATCAGCATTGGATTTCAGTCTTTGGGGTTTTTTTGGGTCAAGCAGCAACCTTGGTATGAAATATGGCATCCACATTCAGAGTAAGTTGGTTAGTCCATTTAAAAGTCTGTGTGAAGTGTGTGTAACATTCATACATGTGAGAATAAGTCTAAATTTTTATATAAAAACTAGAGGCCTGGTGCACAGATTCATGCACTGGTGGGGCCCCTCGGCGTGGCCTGCGGGTATTGGGCCAAAACCGGCAGTCCAATGCCGCCTGCTGCTCCTGCCTGCCGCTCCTGCTCATCCCGGCCCCGCTGCACCTGCTGCTGCTTGGTAGGCTCGCTGACGCTCCACTGCAGTCTCTGGGCTGTGGCGGCCAGCCATGAGCCCCACGTCTGGCGCCCTTCAGTGAGCTGGGCAGCGCTCCCACTGTGGGTGCACACTGACCACCAGAGGGCACAGCTCCTATGTTGAGTGTCTGCCCCCTGGTGGTCAGTGCATGTCATAGTAACCAGTCAATCAGTCAACTGGTCACTTAGGCTTTTATATATATAGATTTTTGCATGCAGCTTAATTAAACACTTAAATAATTTATATCATGACTATATCATGATAATTTCTTCTGTGTGTAGGAAGACAGTCTGGCAAGATCTTAATAATCACTACCAAGATGGGGACGTTGGACCAGTTTCTTAATTTGCTACTGAGCTTTGCTTTCTTTATCTGTAAAATTAGAAAGTTGAAATTAATCACTTAGGCCTCTTTTAAACACCTGAATGTTGGTGCTTCTAACTTTTCTAACCCCATTTTAGGAAATAGCATTTTAAAACCTAAATTCTTTTTTTAAGTATTATTTGTTTATGGGTAGAGTATTCTACAGTTCACAAATCATGACAACATCATTTTAATTAATTAAACATAAAAACTATTCACTAAGGTAATTTTGTAGATTTAAATTTTCAGATGCACACATTTATTTTGCTTGCTTGAGGGAGATTACTTGTCTTTAAAGTTTTAGAAACATAATATTACTGTTTGCTTATCTGTATATATAAAAGCCTAATATGCTAAGTTTTCGGCCGTTCGACCTGTCACTATGACATGCACTGACCACCAGGGGGCTGACGCTTTGACTGGTAGGTTAGCTCTCTGCTGGGGTCCGGCCAATCGGAACTGGGCAAGACGGGCTGGACATGCCCTGGAGCCCTCCTGCGACCCCTCCCCTGGCCCCAATTGTGCACCAGTGGGGTCCTTCAGCCTGGCTTGTGCCCTCTCGCAATCTGGGACCCCTTGGGGAATGTTGGAGAGCCGGTTTCGGCCTGATTCCCGCAGTCCAGGCTGAGGGAATCCGTGCACTGGGCCTCTAGTATGTACATATAAACACTGCATATGAAAAGGAATAGATGGGGTTGTTCTCAAGAACAATGCTTATTATACCTGATGTTTTAGTGATGGATATTGGGGACTTCTTATATTTAGTTCTTTGTTTGCCAGTCCTGCTCACCTGGAAGTAGAGATGAGAGAGCCGTAGCTGGAAAATATTGAGGGCTTCAGTGCCAAGTGCTTTGCTGGGCATGTATACACTTTATCATACTCATTTCCCACAGTAACCCTCTGAATGAGCAGGTGGTGTCCACACTTGCAGGTCGGGACATGGGCTCAGAAATTAAATATTTCCTTAGTGATAGCTAAAAAATGGTAGAGCTAAGGTCAAACCCAAGATCAGTTTACCTTTACTATGCTAAAATTACTCTCCAAATTTAAAAAGTGAGAGGGGTTTATTAAGTAATGAGGTTTCTTCTAATTTTTTAACTGATTGGAATGTGACTAAATTGAAAAAACCCTTAATGTTCTTCTACCTGTTTTATATATCTTAACCTTAATATCGTTGGGTCTTTTGCTATATACCTTATTTCTATTTATTTTATGATAGTCAAGGCAAATAAGGTAGAATTGGTTTCTTTTGTGCAATTGGTATTGTGTTTAGTAACGTAAATTTTGTTTTGTGTGTTTCAGTGCTTGTAATACAACAGGAAGCCTATATGGGAATTTTTCACATTTGTACAATGAAACCGAAGATGATCCACATAATATACAAAATTATGAAAATACCACAGTGTTTTTTATCTCCAGTTTTCAGTACCTCATAGTGGCAATTGCCTTTTCAAAAGGAAAACCTTTCAGGCAACCTTGCTACAAGAATTGTAAGTTTGGCATTTACTGTGATTCCCATACTGCTTACCTTCTTTAAAAATAATGTAAGAAGAGTAGAGTTAAAATTGTCTTTTCAAAGTAAAAGATATATCCATAAATAGAATAAACTTAGTTATCTAGATGTTTATTGTCTGTTTTATTCTCCTGGTAGCTGCCACCCTAAGTTTAAAATTAAAGCCACCAGTTCTGAATATTCCTGGTTTTCATAACCGATTACTTCTGGCTGCAACTTTTATTTTTACATAAAAGTTTCGATTAGAAGCAGGAACAGAGGGTGTTATACTTTCCTTCTGGGTGGTCTGCACAGCACAGTTGTCTGTTCTTCATTTTTGACATGGGTATAATCAATGTTCACATGGATTTCTTCACTTCTGTCACCTTTGCATCCTACAGAACGGGCCAATAGAATGGAGACTTGTACTTGTAGACTTTTCTTCCATAGCATTAAAAAATTTTGTTTGTTTATTTTTTACTTGCTTTATTGGGGTGACATGGGTGAATAAAACCATACAGATTTCAAATGTACAACTCTATAACATATCATCTGCGTATTGCATCGTCTGCTCTCCACCCAAAGTCACATCTTTCTGCCATAAAGTTTGTGGGCTTTTTTACTCTATGTAAGGTTTTGTTTTTGAGTCAAAAAAAGGGACTATAAAGGAAATCCTTTGTGGTGCCTTACTTTGGTGTCATATTCTATCAAAAGGATCTGGTGTCATTAACAAATCTGTGATGCCATAAACTGGGACATATTTAATAATAACTTGAGTTTACATATTACATTGCATTTTAAGTACTTAAATCTACTCTTTCCTATGGGTTTCTCATTATATCCCCATTTTCTAGTTAAAATAATTTGATGCTGAATGACTTGCTAGTATTTACATAGCTTTGTGGCAGAATGTAAAACAATCTAAATCTTTAACTTAAGGAACATTCTCCCCTGACCCTTAATCACCACACAACACAGAATTTGTTTTAATAGCTATCTTCTGGTGAAGAGTATTACTTGCACTCCGATAGGATTACTAAGAAAGCTACAGGGCCAGGAGAAGCCAGGGGCTGAGAGTGTAGTCCACTGAAAACTCTTACCTCTCAAATGAATACCTGATTTTTCTATTCTTAGTTGAAATCATCCTGGTCTTGTCATTTGGGTGGTTGTATAAATCTGCCAGCCACCCACCTCCCCTGTCAAATTCCTTTGATTAGTGACTCTTTTTCTCCCCTGGCTAAGCAGAGGAAAGATTCAATTATTTATTTTCTCCTTCGCTTGGAGATCTTGGCAGAGTTTTAGAGGTGTGATCATAGGGGGTTGCTCCAGGAGAAAGACATGAACATTTGAGAAGCATTGTTGAGGTGGATGTAAAAAGTTTCTGAGCCTGAGTAAATTTTTTCCTCTTACAATATGCCAGGAACTAGATTGCAGATCTATTTTTGCTTATTGTTTGTGAAAATGCAATAGGATTTTAAAAATAATATGGGCTGTTACTTTATTGAAACAAAACTTCTATCTCCACATTTTTCTTTGGCATTTGTAGACTGACATATTTTTTTGTTCTTTTTCGGGTTTTTATTTATTTTTTAGTTTATGTGTTTGTGTACCTCCAACTGGCATTTTTTAAACACTTTTTCTTTAACTGACCCCAATAACTTATCCTATCTAAGAAAGAGGTAATATGCAAATTGACCATCACTCCAACACACAAGATGGCTACCCCCATGTGGACACAAGATGGCCAGCAGGGGAGGGCAGTTAGGGGTGACCAGGCCGGCAGGGAAGGGCAGTTAGGGGCAATCGGGCCAGCATGGGAGCAGTTAGGCATCTATTAGGCTGGCAGGGGAGTGGTTAGGGGCAATCAGGCAGGCAGGCGAGCGGTGGGAGCCAGCAGTCCTGGATTGTGAGAGGGGTCCCATATTGGAGAGGGTGCAGGCTGGGCTGAGGGAGACCCCCGACTTTCTGTTCCCCTAGTACAGCGGTTCTCAACCTGTGGGTCGCAACCCCTTTGGCGGTCGAATGACCCTTTCACAGGGGTCTCCTAAGACCATTCTGCATATCAGATATTTACATTATGATTCATAACAGTAGCAAAATTACAGTTATGAAGTAGCAACGAAAATAATTTTATGATTGGGGGTCACCACAACATGAGGAACTCTATTAAAGGGTTGCGGCATTAGGAAGGTTGACCACTGCTCTAGTGTATTATAAAACAGTATATATGTATATATAAAACAATATTCTGAAAGCTTCGTGATAAAGTTTTGGTTATACATGGTCCTAGTAAAGTTTGGATTTGAAGCTGACCTCAAGTAGGAACTTGTAACTAAATATTCAGACCAAAGAAAAGAGGGATAAAAGGTTGAGGGCTATCAATGTAGTTGGGAAATTTCTGAGCCTCTCTCATGGCTCATTATGTAAGCACATAGTTAACAAGAGGGCCATGAGCAGAAAGTTTTACTTATTTTATTTATTTATTTATTTTTAAATATATTTTATTGATTTTTTACAGAGAGGAAGGGAGAGGGTTAGAGAGTTAGAAACATCGATCAGCTGCCTCCTGCACACCCCCTACCAGGGATGCAACGGCCACCAAGGTACATGCCCCTGACCGGAATCGAACCTGGGACCCTTCAATCTGCAGGTTGACGCTCTATCCACTGAGCCAAACCGGTTAGGACAGAAAGTTTTATTTTTGAAGTTGGGAAAGTGATACAAAGTACTACTGGGTGGGATTTACTATTCCTAGCTATCACAGCAAGCCATAGGGGTAACCCACGGTTAACATAATAAATCAGCTCACTTTTTAAAAAAAATGTATTTTATTGATTTTTTACAGAGAGGAAGGGAGAGGGATAGAGAGTTAGAAACATCGATCAGCTGCCTCCTGCACACCCCCTACTGGGGATGTGCCCGCAACCAAGGTACATGCCCTTGACTGGAATCGAACCTGGGACCCTTCAGTCTGCAGGCCGACGCTCTATCCACTGAGCCAAACCAGTTAAGGCAATCAGCTCACTTTTTAGGTTTTAACATTTTCTGTGGAAATACTTTCACAGAAGTCAATGAAATAGTGGTATTCACCTAGCAGAAATATACTTACATTCAACTTAGAATGCCTCTATTTAGGATTATAACATATCTAATACTGAGAATAAATGTTATTCAGCATTTTTACTAGTACAATCAACAATAATTGTCATTGCATAATGTTTAAATGATGATCTCATTTTGCCATAAATAGTCTAGTTTCTTATTTGTGAGTTATGACTGGCTTGATTATCTTACAAAGTATCTGTTTATCTGGGAGAAATACAAATTTTCATAAAGGTCTCTTAGTTTTTTAAATGCTGTTTATTTTTACATCACATAAATGAATACTTTGGTCCCAAATAATGTATCATACTCCAGGAAGTAATATAGAGCATACTTTATATACCTAATCAACCTAAATAGCAACATTCAGTATTCACAATCAAATTTAGAACTAACAGGATTGACAGTGTACCAGTTATTATATGCCTTTTTATATAAAGGAACTTTCTAATTTAATTGTTCTACTTTCTCTTTCAGATCTTTTTGTTTTGTCTGTGATTATTTTGTATGTTTTCATATTATTCATCATGTTGCATCCAGTTGCCTCTATTGACCAGGCTCTTCAGGTAAGGCTTAATTTAAGCACATCAATTATTACTGGTTGCCTGAGGAGTGATTGTATCTGGGACAGTAACAGAAAAGGACATATTAGTATTACATGAAATTTACACAGCCAAATGAGACTTCTGGGTGTTTGCTATGGTTTAACAGGGGTCCTCAAACTACGGCTCGCGGGCCACATGCAAATACAAGTATTGTATTTGTTCCCGTTTTGTGTTTTTACTTCAAAATAAGATATGTGCAGCGTGCATAGGAATTTGTTCATAGTTTTTTTAAAACTATAGTCCGGCCCTCCAACAGTCTGAGGGCCAGTGAACTGGCCCCCTGTTTAAAAAGTTTGAGGACCCCTGGTTTAAAATCTATCCCTCTACTCTTATGTTACTGGGGAAAGAGACTAGACTGTCTACATTTCTTTTTTCCAGGACCGCTTTTTTCTGAATTTTCTAAGATACAGTTATATTAACCCAAAGATACCCCATAAAGAATAAAAACATAATTAAAACAGCAGCTTTTATTGACTCTACTCGCTATTTTATTTTTCTTTCCTGTTTCTTCACTTTGTGTTGCATTTCTACAAACAGATGTCTCTTGGTCCTTAAAAAATAAAAGACTCTCTCCCTTACCATGTACTTACTGAGTAGTCTGCACACACTGCCTCTTCTTCACTATTGATTGAGTTCTCTATACTTTTTTTTTCCCAATAATTTTTCATTTCATTTTCATTTTAATGCTTTTTATTTTTTTAAAAATATATTTTATTGATTTTTTACAGAGAGGAAGGGAGAGGGGATAGAGAGTTAGAAACATCGATGAGAGAGAAACATCGATCAGCTGCCTCTTGCACACCTCCTACTGGGAATGTGCCCGCAACCAAGGTACATGCCCTTGGCCGGAATTGAACCTGTGACCCGTCAGTCCACCGGCTGACGCTCTATCCACTGAGCCAAACCATTTAGGGCTCTCCATACTTTTTTTAAAAATATATTTTTATTGACTTCAGAGGTAAAAGGAGAGGGAAAGAGAGATAGAAATATCAATGGTGAGAGAGAATCACTGATCGGCTGCCTCCTGCACACCCCCTACTAGGGCATGTGCCCTTGACTGGAATCGAACCCGGAACCCTTCAGTCCACAGGCCAACTCTCTGTCCTCTGAGCCAAACCAGCTAGGGCTCTCCATACTTTTTTTATTAAAAACGTTAGGTATGATGAAATACGTTGTTTTATACAAAAGAATATGCACACATTTAATTTGTTAAGCATTATAGTAACAAAATAACACCCATAGTTCATTATCAAACTTAAAAGTAGCATCACCAAGACAGTAAGTTTTTCTAAACACCCTGAGAGAACCACTATTCTAATTTTTTACTTCATTGTGATGCTTTTTATTATACACTTGTCATATAGGCATGAAGTCATAAAAGATAGTTTTACTTGCTTTTGAACTTTATGAAAATGGTATCTTGCTATCTGTATTTTTTTGTGACTTGCTTTTTCCCATTAGCATCGTTTCTGAGATTCATGCATTTCATTTTCACTGCTATATAGTATTCCACTATAGGATTATACTATAATTCACTTATCCATTGTTCATCAGTAAATAATTGGGTTATTTTCTTTTTCTGTGAGCACTTACTATTTCACTTTCTCAATTATGCCAAGTTGTTTTCCAAAGTGATTGTACCCGTTTATACTTTCATCAGTGTATGAGATCCATTGTTACACATCATTGCCAACCAACACTTGTCTAGTGGATGTAAAAGTGTTATATCATGATGGTTTTAATTTGCAAATTATTAATTTTAAATTACTAATGAGGTTGAGCATTTTTCATATGTTTGTTGGCCCTTTTTATTTCCTTTGTGAAATGTCTATTCATGCTTTTTATCCATTTTTTTTTCTATTAGGGTGTTGTCTTTTTCTTTTTCTTTTTTTAAATTTCTTTTTTTTAAGTCTTTATTGTTCATATTATTACAGTTGTTCCTCTTCTTTCCCCCCATAGCTCCCCTCCACCCGGTTCCCACCCCACCCTCTGCCCTTACCCCCCTCCCCCGTCCTCATCCATAGGTGTATGACTTTTGTCCAGTCTCTTCCTGCACCCGCCACACCCCCTTCCCCCCCGAGAATTGTCAGTCCACTCCCTTTATATGCCCCTGATTCTATTCTATTCACCAGTTTATTCTGTTCATCAGATTATTTATTCACTTGATTTTTAGATTCACTTGTTGATACATATG